CATTTGGAAAGGTTGTCTTACTCTCCAGCCGTCTCCCAAGAACAGTACACCTATCGCAACCTGCCTTACTGTTATGATTCACCGTGTACCTAACAGAGGAACGAGCAGGTGCGTCGCATATAACAGCCGCCAAACGAATAGCTATGCATTTATTAAACTTGACACTAAAAAGACCCACGTCAGTCATTTTTTTTATTTCATAAATTGTGTCCGCAGAAAATTCGTTGAATTCTGCGGGTTTACTATTCCCTCCGTAGATCCCTATCATGAACACGTCACTAAGCTGAGGGGCAATGATCCGTCCTAGTATAGGCCATAACTGTTGATTGGAGCTTCTAGACATAGAAAGTCCGTCTATATTGACATATAACTTTAAAGAGTCAAAATCAGTAGTACACAACCAAAGCTCAACGTATCTTAGCAGATTGGTTTTCAATCCTAGATGGTAGTAAACCCCACTGCCGATGAACTTTGGTTGAACACTTGGACATGTCTTCAGAACACCTCTGATGCTTTTCGGTATGTCCGGGATAAGAAATCGTAGACCATACAGAACCCGATCAGCATCTCTTATGCTCAGAGATGTATTTGACTTTAGATACATCATGAGGTCGTTCATCAGTTCTTTGCGATTCACGAACTTTTGAGAGCACAAGTTCACTTCAGTATATCCTATAAGATAGAAATTCACGTACAAATTTGATGTTCATACCACTATTATGTGCAAGCCTTTGATTGATGTTGCTAGTGGACGGTGTACTAGTCGAAGTACTTTCATTACAACTGACTTCTCTCTTTACTTCTATCAATTAAGTTAAAAACATTGTGAAACTCAGTTACCTTTTACGGTGCTTTCACTAGCAAACTCACTGAACGAAAGAAAGTGATATTTCTTCATGAAAGCAGCTTTCATTTTATTCCACCTTCTGTTATAAGTGGATCTATGACAGCCAAGGGAACGTGACAAGTTCACAGTGGCCCTACGTCTACGAACATTCTCACTGACTTCAATATAACTCATAGTATTGGCCTCACAAGGTAATCAGTTACAATGAACATGAGAATCTGAGAGCACGTCACTCACCTGCATCACGTAAGTTTTTTGTGATGGCTCCAAAGCATGTCGGAACACTTTAGCTAAACACCAAACGAAGTCACTCTAAATGCGTATCAACCGAATGCCTGGTTCCGTATTTTGTACATTGTTTCTATGACAATACCATTGTTTTTTTATTAAGCGGTGACTAAATTTGTCGAAGTTTATGAAAACTCCAGTTCTGGACGTGGTTCATTCAAACACTGTACGTTACGTAGAACTGTCGACAAATTTCCCCCAAATACACGACGTAAGGGGGAAAAAGCGACATTTCTCCTAAATAACCGACGTAAAGGCGAAAAAGCGACATTTCCCCTTTCGTCCTTTTTATTTCCCCTTTCTTCCCCTTTATTTCCCCTTTTTGTGTTGCTTGGGGTTGCTTGTGATATAAATGATCAAGAACATATATTAATAAGTATATATTTACGGGGCAAATCTTGAAATAGTTGAATGTACGGTAGTTATGGTGCATCTGATATTTTTTAGAGCACAGACGCTATACATGATATCCATGTTCAAAAGCTGCGAATTGTTTGACAAATACGCATCTACGACGAGCAGAATTCAAAAAGCGTCCCTGTTTAAATCTAATTAGAGTAAAAAGACTTGCAAATCAAGCGACAATGCATGTAATCGTTCGCCATATCCCAAATGAAATTTGCTATATGGTAAAAATGCTCGGATGTAATCACAGAATAACTATCAAGTATTACTGGTTAAAAGGTAAAAGTTTTTGAGGCGCTCTTGGTTTAATATTGCTGATAAAAAGCTCTTAGAACTTCCCATTTTTAAGATGACTATAAACCCAATCATATATTCGTATGAATTAAAGACAGTATTAGTCAAGGTAATATGGAACATTTACCCACTAATTAAATCAAAAGAAGGCAGTATTTCTTAGATGACCAAAGTCAGTGTGAGAATAACCACCCACATGAACAGGCTGTCACGAAAATTCTGTAAACCTCTAACTATTTATCTCAGTTGGTTATGTTTTCTCCAACTGAGACAGCCTGGACTATGTCTTGAATCCAGCTTTATTTTAAGAAATACTAGAGATTACCATGCATTGTTGGCATACATTCAAGATGCCACATGTGCAACAAAATTCTGCATATCTTTCCTAATTAGTAGTGATGCTTGTTTGGTGCTTTTTAAGCATTAGTTTTACAGTCACAATGCAGCTTTTACTTGTTATGTTGTTTGTATCTTAGAAGTCCTCTTGTTAAACAATTGTTTTATTTCACTTTCATGGTTACTATTTGACAGAATCTAAAAATCCGAGTTCTGTTCTATTTCGTTGTTAGCAGCAAAAGAGTTTTGAAATCTTGATGTATCTGTTTCTTCTTGCAGGCATTTGACCTGGCTTACTAATAACGACTGAAAGTGAATTGATTCTATGAGGACTGTTTCACGTTCTATGATAAACTCAGGCAGCTGATTGGCCAATGTGTTCAGAAATTTTACAACATATACTAATCTGTAAACAACTACCTATTGTAACTCATTACAAAACCTAGCTCGTTATACCTCCATGTCGTTTTAATGAAAGTGTTCGTTTTGATTGATCGTGTAGTTGTAGCGAGTTTATACATGATCTTTACCAAGAAATAAATTTCTGAAAATGAGGAGCACTTGACTGATGATCGATTTTACTTGTCCACTATTCAATAAATTTCAACAATGGAACCATTAAGATGTATTGGTAAATCCTGGAATACTTGCTTACGTGTATAATGAGTGGCTAAAAGCATAATTCATCTATTGTTAAGCTTCCCCAAATCGTACACTTGAGGATCCTGGACGTAGTTTGCTGATTGACTAGTTTCAGGACTGTTCAACTGACAGATTTTGACACACCTTTTACATGGTATTAGTTTTCAAAAGACTAAACTAAAACTTTACAGACAGGTTGAAACCAATTCAAGATTTACGTCCACAGCATTCTGCAGGTTATCTCATATCCCATAGCATCATAACGTAGATTTAGGCCATTTGAACTGGTGAGTGGCTTAGTCTGAAAAAATTGACTATCAATGGTTAGTAGCTGAACATGATATTAGTCACTCCCCACTGTTAAACCAATGTTATAATCCACACTGTTAGTCGAAATTAGAACGCCGAGTAGCCGCTGTGGTACTTGCCTTAGTTAAAAATTTGTTATCACGTGTACCATCAAAATGAGTTTTTTAGTTGAACAGACAACATTTGTTCTGTTTTATCTCAGAAGTTACCGTTAAGTCAGGTAACGGATTATTTTTAATCCAATTATATTAAAGATAATATGTACAAAACTTTTATTGTTAGTTTTATGCTAAATCGAATTCTAATGTCTTCAATAAAAATATAAATAGCATTACATATTTGTAAGTAATTACAATGATGTAAAATGTTGAATCTATTCCAAGTTTTAACTTATAATCATGATGGTTTAGTATTTATAAACTAGACCAACATTCATGCAACAATTATACAATGTAGTATGTTATATGAAATAAATTTTATACTTAAGTTTTATAAAACTAAGAAAACAATGTTAAATTGTTACCCTTTTATTGATCAAAATATTGTCATATATGTATGTATAGACACTAATATGAATATACATCCAATCGAACAAAGAAATAACATACATACAAGCATATATTGTAAAGAAATAAACAAATACCTCCAATTGGACTATGAAATTACAAATATTGTTTCATTTTAACTGATTCATAGTTATCTTACATTGAGTGGTATATATTTTGAAAAGAATCAAATCTAGTTTCTATGACATATGCACATTCATTTTATACATATTTGACAAGGTTCAATATAGAAATGGTAAATATTTGATTTTCTGTTCAATGACTATTTCATATAGTTTTATCGGTAAGAATTATTTCTCGCTTATTTCCTAAACTCTTCAATCTCAGTTTTTATTTCCATTATATAATTGTTGAGATATACAAACTAATACGTTTGTGAAAACAATACCGATTTTAGGCTGATAATTTAAAACAGATGAATTGAAGCTTTGTAGAGATTGTTTAAAAGAAAGTTAGTTGACAGTATAAAATTATCTCAAGTGAAGTAAAATCTTTGGGGTAATCGTGGATTTCGACTGTTGAAAAGTTTTATAATATCATGAAACACATGTCATGTACTTTGTTTTTTCACTGTTTGACTAGTATAAGTCAGTTTATGATGTAATCTTCCAATATGATATAGTATATTTTAAGTAATGAGTGAATATCTTTAAAGCAGTTAACACGGTGTAATGAGAAATATATATCTGCACTTATCGCATAGTGAAACTCGTATTCGTGAATAAAACGTGTATAGGATCTGTTCATGGTTTTGGTTACATTCGAACTGTTTTATAGGTGACTATTTGTAACACAAGCTAGATTTATCTAGATATGCCTTGAGATTTTCTGATATTATGAACCAGTGTTTTTAACATTGAAATGTTTCACGTTTGTGTTTGAGGCAACTAAATTCCTATAGGACAAAAATGTTCATGTCATGTATATAGTTCCCTTTATTATCTTAAAGAGAGCAAGAACAAAGATTGGTGCTCTCTTTAAAATAAATACACTTTTTGATTATAGAAAAGTGTTTTTAACCTTATGTTTTGTCTACTTCTTGGTGCTGACAAATAAGCCGGTTTAATTGCTTAGTAGAGTTTGATTAGCTCTAACAGTTCGAAAGAATTTAACACTGAGTACAATTCAGTTATCCCTTGCTGTAAGTAAAAGAAATACAGGTCATTTTTGGCTTATTGAAAAAAAGTTTCCTCATGGTAGAGTTCGTTATCTTTGGTTTATTCCATTTCAGATTTAATGGTGCAATCTGTCCAATAAAATACAGACAATCATATATATATATATATATACATCTTTCATATGTATTAAATAAAATGCATATAACAATGGATGAATCTAATAAGGAATTAATTAATAATGTACCACATTCACGGGCAAAAACACGACCATCTGGAAAATGTACATTAGCTAGGAAACGTTTAAAACAAGTGTTTAATATGAGAAAATATTATTTATCAGTTATTGGATTGACAGGTTTTGAAGCATTATTAGTATTATGTCGAGTGATATTGGAAACAGAATCATTACGTTTACCTGTAAGTATGTAATATTTGTAGAATAGATTACATTATACAGTTTTTGCAACGATTGTAATCTCTTATAGTACAATTTAGAATAATGTTTTTACGATATAATAAACACATAAATCCAAGCGATACTGATTCATACATATTTAGAAGTTATTTACCAACATAGGTCTGGTCACATCCATTTATAAATATCAACATGCAGAAGATTTAAACCCTCAAAGATTACGACGAGACCACATTGAAGAAAGAATGCATTAATTCATGGATGTCGTATTGAAATGACCCAATGATATTCATTAATAAGATGATTCATCGACAGTAAATCCTAGCACCCGTGATTAATTCTACAACTAATCAGCTATTTAATTACTCACTGCATTTTTTCTAATTTCTCAATGATTATTCAGTTTTAATGGCATTTTCACATGTTCCGTGCCTAAATTACTAACGAAAATAGGTCAATACTATATTTTGCTTATCTGAGAGGTTTCCGATTGGAAATCTATAAGTTTATAAAGTTTTAATACTAAACCGATTCTACCTGAGGAACCATTGGAAATCAGAGATTACTTGTATACCTGGAAGCACTGGACAACCGTTTCGTTCTATAGTGGGACTCCTCAACAATGTACATTCACGATCCCGCCTCGCAAGATTCGGGCCTAGAACCTATTGGTTTCGCGCACGAACGATTAACCTTTAGATCACTGAGTCAGCATCCAATGGTGTTAACTAAGCTAGTAATATAAAGAAACAATCTCTTTTAATAAAATTAATATAGTCATGAACGAGAAAACAAGTGGTGACAATCAAATACATTTGAATACAAAATTACAGAACATCCTAGTAAAAACTGAGAACCGTACAGTAATACCTTTATTTACAAAACGTCAATCAATTGTCTCAGACTTCATTGTTCTTTCGATTTCACATTAATCATTCTTCGTCCTCGTTCTCTTTTTGTTTTTTGATCTTCTTGATCTTCTGCCTCCAGACATTTCACTTTCGATTGGTGATACACACTACTTATACCTATCGACATCAGTAGCACACACACACCACAATATTACAGATTACTATAGTTGTGATGTGTAACTCTTTATCAATTACATATTAACTATGGGATAATTCGATAGTTATTTGAGTTAACTTTTAACTCTATATACATAGTATAAAAGGTTATAAGAATGTAGAGTACTAGCGACAAGGCGTGCTAGACATGAGTAATTCTTTGTTCTTATAAAATTTATAGTAAATTCGACACTACATAGATTAATGTATGATTTAGTTTGTGAGTAATTGTTTATGTTGTTCAATTACTACTTAATGATCATTGTCTTACTTTATGTGTATTTCTTTTTCTTCAGCCCGGAAATACTCAACGATTAATTTTAGAAGGTCAATTAGCTTTAGAATGTTTAAGTTTATTTACATTGACATTATTTGTTGTGGAAGTTCCATTTAAAATATGGGCTATGGGAATTCGTCAATGGGGTCGTCAATTATTATTTATTATAGATGGTCTTGTATGTGCAGTTTGTTTCTCATTAGATATCTATAATATTTATCGACATTCTAGTCGACCATCAAGAGGGATTACATCATCAAAAGTTTTAGAATTATGTAATTATTTACATATTACTTCACAAGCAGATACAGCTTCAACATTTGCTGAAATCTTTGGTCTTATGATTGTTTATAGATTATGGTATATTAAAAGATTTATAAAAAGTAAGTATTCAGTTTGTATTTGTTTTCATTGTATTTATTGTGAATTATTAGTATTCTTCGGATTTATCTACATTATGACCGCTATCAATAAGATGTGCTAAGATAGAACTGCGTATTGTTTTTATCTATCCCTTCATAAACCAGGCTAGTAGATGTTCACTGATTCGTTGGTTAAGTTGCCTGATAGTATGCCCGATATAGCTATCTCCACAGGAGCAGCTGAATTTGTAAATGCACATTGAGGAGGCCAACTCAGGTAACTTATCCTTCGTTTGAGTAGACATCACTGGTCGACTCAAGAAGGTGAACGCAAGATCGACTGTGTAGAATGTCCTGCTAATTACTTTCGTTAACCTAGCATTCAGAGTATCACTGGCCATATCCCCCGTTGAATTGTACTTGTTTTTTTTTTGTACTTTTTGAAATATATAAGTGTTTTCCCAATCAAACTGTTTTAATTCATTATGTAACTTAACTCCCCAGAAATTGGTGTAATTCTTTATCAATCTTTCATTCTATATAATGCTTAGAACAGTAATAACGTGAGTTATAAAGATGACTTTAGAAGAACAATGAATTTAGTTTATTTTAAGTTTTAGGTTATTTGAATTCTAGCTGATATTAGTATCAGAGATGCTTGTTTTGTCTAATTTGGGACTAACTAGCTAGATGTGCTTTCATCCAAATGTTGTTATTCATACAGAAAAACGGATCCAATACTTATCGTTTAGCTTTTCAGCAGCAAGACAACACGTTGACGTTTGGAGCAATAAGTAATATGTAGGTAAAGACACTATCACCAGATATCAGGTATATCCAGATAACAAGTCGAGTATGAATCGAATTATCTGCTTTCTTGAGTGTTTCATACTTTTCATTGTCTGACATTTTTTGGAAAATTTACTATTTAAATAATCAACATGTTTTATTATACAACAAACACTACTTATATGTGATCGTTAATTTGATCAGTTCAAACAAATAAACATGAGAAAGAAACATAATATTTCATGGGAATATAATTTTTTATATACGACCAATTATTCAATAGGCATTATTTAAAATACTTTATAATTTTACATATCAGAAGGGGTTTTGTGGACATTTTAGTAATCTTAATCGTTGAGATCATGAGTCAATTGAAGATCGACCACCATGAAAAACTTGAAAGTACTGGATGGCAGTCTCATCCTATTGTGGGACTCCTCAACAATGCACATCCATGATCCCGCCCTGCGAGATTCGAACCTAGGACTTGTCAGTCTCGCGTATGAGAGCTTAACCACTAGACTACTGAGCCGGTACTCAACACTGTTAATGTCTAACTTCAATTAATTTAAATTGAGCGGCACATCCATCATTGTCTTCAGTGAGTTACTATCTCACAACAGACCTGGTTGAACTCCACTGGTCACGACCTCTCACTAGAACTCCAGCAAATACCTCTTGAACTCAATTCCTATAATATTTTTGTTTAGAATTATTGAAAATAATTTATAGAATATTAGTAAGATTCATTTTAGATTTTGTTTAGAAATTAAGATTAAATTCGATGTTGAATTGAAATGATGATTGAAATTTCGTATCTTTACTTAAATAATGAAGATTACACCTACTTACTTACTTATGCATGTTAGCCCTCATGGAGGAGCATAAGCCGATCACCAGCATTCTCCATCCAACTCTGTCCTGGAAAATCCTTTCCAATTGTTTCCAGTTGCTATTCATCCTTTTCATGTCTGCTTCCAATACCCGACTCAGTGTGTTCTTTGGCCTACCTCTTTTTCGTTCCCCTTTAGGATTCTAAGTTAACGCTTGCCTTGTAATACAGTTTAATGATTTCCGTAATGTTTGTCCTATCCACTTCATACATCTTAATCATAATCAAAGTCATTATTTGAAAATCAAGCAATTGCTACGTTGCATAACATATAAAAGTGAGAGGAGACAGAATACCTTTTTATTTTGAGATCATGAACCGATTGATGTTAGACCACCATTGAAAACCTGGAAGCACTGGACGGCCGTTTCGTCCCATTGTGTGACTTTTCAACAGTGCGCATCCACAATCCCGGCCGCGGAATTCAAACCCAGGGCCTTCAGTCTTGCGCGCGAACGCTTAACTTTTAAACCATTGAGTCGGTATCCAACAGTGTTAATGTCTAACCTCAACCAGTCCACGAAGTTGAGCGACGATCTTCCATTGTAATGAGGTAGATACCTGTTTCTGCCCGACACGGAATATTTTGATGAATCGTCAGTAATATAGTAGTTATGTAAGAATCAAGAAATGGATATTGAGAATAAGTAAAATACAAAAACATACAAAAAAACCACTGAAGAAATACGAGAATCGTTTATCATATTTCTGCTACAAGCTTCCCTATTATACTGATGGCCAAGGTAACGAGAATGATTGTACAAACCTCGTTTAAGTGCAAAGGTTAGGTTTGTGAACATGGATTGTAATAGCTTCAGCAATGTGCAAAAGACTCACTTGTTTACTGTTTGTTTGTTTCTTTGTTTTCTATGACAATCAACATTTTGAAATAGATAATACAATAAACATCAAATTTCTATTATGTCATAATGTTGTTCTATTCTACTATTTATAAATTGATAATTAGTAGTAGTGAATGAAAAATTCTTAATAAAATGAGGGTAGTAAGAAAAAACAAACAAACAAGATATGTAGTAGAAGAATATGTAATAGAATGAATAATGCACAGTTTCTAATTGATTGAATCATTGTCAACATTTAAGAATTGATGATCTAGACCTTAGTTGAACTTCAATTGATTGATTCATCATAAAAGAATCATATAGATAGATAGATAGATAGTTGACAAATTTCAGTTTTTATAAGTAAAGGGTTATAGAGATTATTAGGTTTGTGATTGAGATCATTAACTGATTAATGTTAGATCATCAATGAAAACATGGAAGCACTGGACGACCGTTTCGTCCAGTTGTTGTGAGACTCCTTAGCAGTGCGCACTTACGATCTTACTCGCAGTATTCGAATCCAGGGCCTTCAGCCTTGCGCGCAAACGTTTAACCTCTAGACCACTTAAAATATTGAAATACATTTCTGTTTAGTTCAGCTTTAATGATTGATGAATGTAAGTCAGAGAAGATTACACAGTAAAATAAATTGTGACTACTATACAAATGTTGTGAACTGATGCCAGTCAGATACATCTATGTATTTATAATAACCGTCGATTCGGATCAAGTTTAACTATTGTATAAATAATAAGCATGAATATATATATATATATATATATATATATATATATATATATAACGATCTGTTCAACTGATCGATCACTACGTTGTAACCAATGCCACATTTGTCTAGTCTTTTGATACTAACTCACTTCAATTTATCAACTTGCTGGTTGACACTGATTTGAATACCACAGAGAGCAGCAGTGTTTTTAGGTTCGTAAATATGTCTTTCTGACAAGTACTAGCAAACACTGAATCTATGTCAAACAGTGTGACCAGTGGAGTCCAACCAGGTCTGTTGTGAGATAGTAACTCACTGAAGACAATAGTGAACGGTGGTTCAATTTCGTGGATTGGCTGAAGTTAGACATTAAGACTATCGAATGCCAACTCAGTGGTTTAGAGGTTAAGCGTTCACGCGCAAGACTGAAGGCCCTGGGTTTGAATCCCGCTACCGGGATTGTGGGTGCGCACTGTTGAGAAGTCCCACAATGGAACGAAACGGCCTTCCAGTGCTCCCAGGTTTTCAATGGTGGTCTAACATCAAGGTGAAACTATAATTGATGGACGACCTTCGAGTGACGTTAGACTGACCTTGTCAGTATCCACCTGACAACCGGGACTAAATGATGGTTATAAACCTGTCTGAAGAATTATAATTATAATTTACAGTTGATGATTAAGGTTAGAAATTATATTTACGGTGTTCATCACGAACTGACATCAGCTATAATGTCAAAACTTTATTTAGCCAAATGGATAAGTGAATTTCGCGCCAAACTCCGAAACCTGTTATCTTGTACGTGATTGGTTCGTCCAAAAATTTTTAGTTTCGCCTATTTCAAATTAAATGGCCTTTTTATTATAAACATACTAATTCATTGAATAATTAATTCAACAAAAGAATTTTCTCAAAGAATATATAAAAGTCTATAAATAATTTCGAATCTCGATCATCGACTACTGACTAGTTGAACAGTACTGTGTATGATATGTTGCTTCCAGTAGTGAAAACAATTCATAAGTAACAGTTACCGAAAAAAATGATCAAATGAACAGAACTTGTTGTTTAAACAAACTATTAAATAGAGTATATTGAACTATTGGGTCACAAACAGTTTTACCGATTTCTAGACTCGCCATGTCTAATGCATTGGTTAGTTTAGTCACAAACAGAGTTAACTTAAAGATCGGTGTGCTCTTCGAAAGAAATCATGTATTTTACCGACGAAATGATATAAGAGTGTAAATTTATAGGCTTATTGACCTTACTCGAAATCTTGAAGTAATTTGAAGCTTTGCTTGGCTTATAATTGTCTTCTCTGTAATAAACCTTGTAGTGCTTGTGAAATTATATATTTTCCTGGCTGAATCTAATCTTCTTCCTCTAGCTGATAGGTTTGGAGCGCAGAGGAATAGTTTAGTTTGTCCTTTTATTTCATTGCTGGTTTTAGTTTCGTTTGCTGGTCCAAGGTGATATCAATATAATCTCTTAGACATAGGATCCATATACAAAATGTTTTAGCTCATGTTTAGTTTAGGATGAATGTCAATCTAAAACTATCCATTTTTCCATACAAAGATCAAAATAAACTGTCAATATATTGTAACACTGATGTACAATAAGGATATATGTCTGAATAAATGCATATTTGCAGATACATATCATGTTTTAATTGAATGGATCAGATGAAAAGGGAAGGAGATTAATGCAACACATATCTGTTTCATTCTAAAACTGTAATGGTACAATTTACTTTGCTATCACT